CTCACTTCACTGATTGAACTGCACCTCTTTTGCCCCTCAATTCCCATGCCCCAGAAGGCCGCTTGCGCAACACCGGCGCAGTAGCAGTGTGTCACTTACTGATTGAACTGCACCTCTTTTGCCCCTCAATTCCCACGCCCCAAAAGGCCACTTGCGCAACACCGGCGCAGTAGCATACGCGTGTGTCACTGACTCATCTCTACCTACTCGTGGTCCGTCCACTGGGCTTGCTGTCACTCGTTCTGTCATGATTTTCGTGTGACCACACTGCAAATCAGAATCACGAGACTGAGCCCGGAAGGTACGATCGTAATCCACACCTCCGAGCCAACATTTCGCTCATCAATATCTGGTGTGCGATTGACAGTGCGCTGGGACAAACTTGCGACGCCACGAACGTGGACTATTGAGTTTCTTGAGTAATTTTCCCTACCCTTTCGTCAATAGCACCGTCAACTTACGAACCCGATTTACCCCTTTGACATTTGAGATCCTCAAACCTATGCGTGACCCAAAGTTCCGTATTGGGAACCTCAACGCTCGTTGCAGTAACGGAGCAGGGAAAAACTTTTGGGCTCACGAGCATAAAAACAAATTGAATCTGTATGAAGGTTGTTTTGTGTGCACTTTGGGGTTCCTAAACTAGTAAGGCAACTGACTATTTGCACGAATCGTCGCACTGCAATAAGTTGGAATAGAAACTCAAGCAGACCAACATAGCGACGTTATTCGTACCACATGCTTTTCCAAGCTTTACACACATGTAAGCATTGTAAACCGCCCGACTAAATTCCTGTTGTTCCGCAAAAGAAACTAAAAAGAGGTAGACAAAGGAGTTCATTTCCGGATACATTTAAAATTCAGCGAGATAACTTTACATTAAGAAGATAATGCACTGTGGCCTGATGAGTGCGTAAAAATCATAAGGTAAAAAACTGATTCACGTACAGCCGCGCAGACAAGGTGTAGGGGTTGCGACATAGCTACAACACATGTGAAAAGAAACATTAAGAAACTCAGTGAATTTGTGTGGGGAAAGCGTTGCAAAATATCACTTGTAACTGATTCGATTAGACTGCACAAAGCGACTTCAGGTATCGGGGTTCACCTAGCGTCTTAAAACAAAACGATCCAATGCACCAGCCCCCCGGTTTTTTAAAGCTGATTTAGAAACACGAGTCCGTCCACGTCCGGACTTTGAGGTCCCTGAACAACGCGGAAAGGAGGACAGAGAAGCCGACGAACCGGCAGATTCGCGGACCCATTCGTTTTGCACCCGCTGAGCTATGTGGAAATCCGAATGCTCCGGGATCTGCCAGACAGATACACGTGAGCCGCATTCCTCACAAACTGTCCAGTCACCTGCAGTATATGCGGTGAAAAAGGCACCAGATTCTGTGTGGTTAGATGACATCGAGTCTGTATCAGCTTCAATTTCAAAAGCTGGACTTTTTGACTGGAACTGTTCAGGAGTATCATCAGGAAGATCATTAATGGGTTTGGAGAGATCTACCTTTGCCGGTTCTAAGGTCTTCGGTTCCTGCGGCGCTGGTGGCGGTTCCGAAACTTCAGCAGCATGGAGACGCTTGAAGAACGAGGAACCAGCTGGTCTTACTGGATCTATGGCTGTCTTACGCGCATCGGCGCCTTGTGATTGAAAATCTGACTCGATTGCCTTCGGTGGGTCACTACGCCGTTTCAAGTCGGATTTTCGTTGCAACAACACACGAATATCTGCGGATGTGGTATTTGAACAAAACTTCGCGGCAGATAGTCCGATGGATGTAATCCCGGGGGTCCTAGAAGGAGCGAGACAAGAGAAGCTACTTGATAGAACGCAGACACAAGCTCTCCGGATAAGGAACTATATTTGCTGCAAAATTTTAGAGAAAATCACCAAAGAAGCAACAAAATGTACCTATTGAACGTTGATATTTTGCTAAGACTGACGGAATCCAAGCCATTCCAAGTTTTGTTGGGGATGATGAGTGGAAGTGAGAGAGAACTTACCAAAGTGAGTGGCGCCGACATCCCAATCATCCACAGGCTATGTTTTGAATTTCGCTGGTCACGTCAATTATCTTGCATTTAATATTTTTGTGGTTAACAGACTACCAATAGTTGTAAGCAGCTGATCCCTTGCTTTATTCCAATGTATAATACTTTCACACAAAGGAATGTAATTCTCCCACCATTGGATTCCATACACTAATGCTCTCGTTGGTTGAGTTGTCGCACTATAACAGCCTTTCTATATCATACGGTCCATCATCACCATCATCATCGACCGCATGACATCAGTGTTCAACACCGATGCTTCACTGCCGTCCACCACTGTCCTTTTATTTCTAGGCGTACAATCTAGTTACGTTCCTCGAGGAAGGGCTTCGGCATTGTTGCAGTGCCGCGTTCTGTGCGGCCAATGTTCAGTTCCACAGACTCCTACAAGGTCGTGCGATGGGATCGATGTAGTTGACGTGCGAATTCGTTCACGCTTACAGTGACGGTCCTTTTGACTGAGTGCACTCCCCAAACTATTTTGAAAAACCACACGCGTGTGAAAACAAATTATAATATACATCGAACCTTCCGTGTGATAATCCAGATGGGTCGCCACTTTCCCCGGCGCAAGTAAGACTACGGTGCACGTTAAGAAGGCTTTTCTCTTAAAAACATCAGGAAGTGCTCTTCTCTATCCACTAATCCTTCTATGAAGAAACCAAAATTATTGGAACTGCGCATCCCACCCTACCCGAATATCTCGGAGGTTCCCCTCTGGGCGCTCCCCACCGTTTTACTTCCATCCTGTCCACGTCCAATCAACCCAGTAAACCTGATGCGGCACATGATGCATCGTCCGCCACAGTGCGCGACGAACAGCTTATCCCAGACATTTCCAGGTTTCCAATGTTTTCCAAACAATTCACCCCTCTTTTCCAGACGCCAGGCGTCGCCGCGCTGCTCCAGAACGAGGAGCTGCTTTGAAAAGTCGATACAATCGCCGAAGGAACCCGTTACCCTAAGATTCACACCGACCATTTAATTGTGGCAGCTAATAATTCTGCGGCAACCGCTGGCCTTGCTTCCCCTCTTCGAAACAAGCGTGCGTAGGACGAGCTAGACACAGACCTGGTCAGTTAGAACTGCCACTTTTATGTTACTAATCTAAATTAATTGCTATAAACGAAATACTTCGGATCCCTCAGGGCGAATCTGGCCCAGACAGGCATTGGCTGACTAATTCGCCGTCAACGTGGCCTAGCCAGGCTGTGGAAAAAATTTCCTTCCATTACACTAGACTATGTACAATGATTGAAGGTAAGCGAACGGAAGTACATTACTACAATCGTTTCAAGAATAATCCTCGTCCACCCAAATTTCAAAAACTGCATGCAACAGGATTTGGGAAACGTTCGGTAACACGCGACATCGACTGGCCCAAAAGATACGGGCTGATAAGCTGTCAGTAAGTCTAGTGTCCACACAATGTATCCGCAGTACCAGACTTGAGGCAATGCATGCTTATTATGAAGTTTCTTTGCTGTTTCCAAACAGTAGTGGTCAAGCTGCGTTTCCGGATTGAAGCTCTTTGTCTGACAGATAATAAAGTACAATATGTATCTCTATCTTTTGTGTGCTGATTTTTGTTGTTTTCGTGCTATCTGTAGTCCGTAGGAGTCAATCGCAGATCAGCCAGGCTACCGGTAGTCAAGGGACGGCCATTATATCGATCACGTACTGAAGTATGCGTGTAATTGGGTACAGTGTATCGTGTGTGTATAGTTGCGCGACCAACAGCTCCAACTGATCATTCTTTACACTTAACCACATGATTAGTTGCGAAAATCTTCGGATGTAATACAACAATAAAATAATGGTCTCCTAACCAAATAATTGTGTAGCCACCTTTTGTCCCGGGTATAGACTAAGAAACCATGATGCGACGTGATGATCGAGATAACGACCAGTCTGTGACTACTGGTAACCTGCTGATACGGTGCCGTCCCGTAGGGAACACGGGTAGCACGGATACAGCGAGAAATTGGCAAGCAAAAGATGAATATAAAGAATACACAATGTACCATTCAAAGCCTGTTAACCACAAAAATGTTCAGTGCAAGAGGGCTAATTGGATGGGTAAACAGGGGTAAAGGGATGGGACATACATTATTGTGCGAATGAGCGAATCCGGGTATTCCGAGGCCATCACAATGCATGGAAAGCCATCAATTACTACTGTGTTATCCGGTGGGATACAAGGAAGCATAACGTTTCCAAAGCAGAAACAGCGCTTGTTGGTTTGTGCTACACGATTCAGGGGCGAGATGGTCCAAGTGGTTAGAGCGCAAATTTATTGACCGGAAGGTCCGTGGTTCGAACCCGACCTCCGCCTCTTGACTTCCCCTGTCTAGACTTGGGCAACCTGGCAGTATCCCAGCCCTCGTGCAACCTTCGGGTGGCATGGCAGCTAGGCACCGAAAGGGTGTTACAGCTGAACGATACACTATTCAAAATGAATGCGATATTACAATCTGCGAAGGTTCTTCAGGCGTCTATAAAGTACGATTCTGACTCCATAGGAGTTCAGAAAGTTTCCTGACAGGATAGGGGGGACTGTGTACCATTGGCTTCAGTGTAAACGTATAAAACGCACAAGAAAAAGTTGAAAACTTATCCAGAGAGCCGTAAGACGATGCGGACGATACGATAAGTGTTGCAATTATTGGACATTACATACGGTCTCCTCTAATCGATATAGTCTTTGGAACTTGTTCACGAAAACCATCGGTAATCGTCGTTTGGGTGTGAAGCAAGAAAACGATAATTTGAAAGCAAATGTACGGATAGAAATAAGTCGAAAAATTGTTATAAACGCTCTTCGGGAAAAACAGAATACCATTGAAAACAACTGCTCGAATGTGCAACAAGACTTGCCCAAACTCGATGAATTCCCACTGTTTGTACAGTATAACTCTGCGGCAAATTCGCAGGTATGGTGGCACGTAGAATCTGCTCCCTGTTCAAGGGAGCGATCACCGTTTACGTAAATAGGAACTAAACGACGGACAACACCAAAGTATACGGCGTACATGTAATCAGTAGAGAACAAGTGAATGAATTCAATGGGTAAAGAAAAGAACACCGGTTCGTTTGGAACACGGGGCTTGATATCGGCCAAACTAATACCGCAAGCTGAAGCAAATGGGTGCGAATGCCCCAGGCAATTTCAAGAATGGCATTCAGACTTTGACAGGCTAGAGTTATGCAAGCTGCAGGCTACCAAACGTCATCGTCGAATACCTACCACGAAACATAGCTGCAAAATTCGACCACTTGATGCTGGCATTACAAAGGATACGATCCCGATAAACCTACCGCAATAAGCCTGTGCGACACCAGGAATATCTGATAATTTTATAGGGCGGATGTGGATAGATGCTGAGTTTTGGCGTTACTCAAGTATAGAATGCCCAGAAGCAGTAGAAGGTCATAGCAGTTCTCAAGCAAATGATATCAGAGCTGGTTGTTTTTCTACGACGCTGAGGGTCGGAGCTCGTGACCCGGTGAAGTAGTAGTAGTTTACTAAAACCGCTGGGCCATGAACGTTGAAAATTTTGGTGACGGACTTCGTTAGCTTCACGACTGATGATGTGCAGCAGAATCTGCATACAAGTTACCTAGCCGGCCGGGGAAGCTGTGAAAGTCACGTTGATGAAAGCGATGAACACTGACGAGCTATCTAAAGAATAAGCAACGATGCACGAAGTAAGCAAAACAAAAAATACTAACGACGGAGTGTTGTAAAGACGACTACTGAGAAAATGATTATGCATTGAAACTGCTATCTCTTGTGAAACGATGCTACGGGAGCTTTGGTTGTTGTTTTAAGTATGCAAAATCTATCGACTGGTCCGATATATGGACTAACACGAGTTGGACTGCGCTGTAACATCATCCTTGCTTAGCGTCACTTTTTCGGAAAACGAAGGGTGAATTGTATAGGGATTATGAGCTTCCACCGAAATGATTACTGACTTTTTTACTCAGAGGCTACAGTTCCGTGCTCATTTTTCCTTGTGATGCAACGGCTTAGAATCACTGAATTTCTTTGTTTACTTCGTTAAAACCGGGAGAAGCAAAGGGCTACCACTGTAGCCTTCTGGAATGTTGCACTATAATGGGAATTACTCTAACACGGTTGGACTACTACTCCATTTTGCTTTATCGATTAATCTTTGTTAGTTGCTACGTTTGTTTGACCTCAGCCGCCGCGTGGAAGAATATTCGGTTTATTCTTATTGCCAACTGGTGCTATCGAACACAGTTGGAATAATACTGTTCCCCGTGCCTTCGTAACTGGCAAGATTACTTTGAGAGAAAAATCAACACAAGGAAACAGTCATACGTACTCATCTATCATAGACTGATAGTAAGCTTTCACATACCATGTGTCGTTCTGCTTGCCTGATCCGAACACTTCTTCCATGACGGTTAAAGCTGACGCGGCTATTCTATGAGCTGCCATTTTCAGTATCTTGTCCGTATCAGAATGCACTACCGGAAATGTCTCTGCTTCGACGTCCGGATCGGTGCCTCTGATTTCAGTGAGAACGGCACTGGGAAGAACACGCGAAAAACTGTTCGAGCCGCTTGAGTTCCCAGTACCAAGATGAACAGGTTCTGCGGCTCGCACATATAGCGTCAGACGTGTGGCGTGGCGTTGGTGAATTCGGCGATCATCTACCAACCGTTCGACAAGTTCGTCCGAAAGGCACCGGAGCCAATACTCAATGCTTTGGGTCGAGGTCAGAATCGAGCGACCGACAAAGTTTTTGCTACATCCCACTGATTGCGCGATTGAACGTGGTGTGACTGCGTCCGGATCATGCCCCCGACAGAGTTCGTAGAGCCATTGCCTATAATTTTGCAGAAGCAATTAGGAGAGAAGCAAGTGATGTAACGAGCACTGCGATATCGTAATACAGAGTACAACCACGTCCTAATTCAAAACAAATCCATACATTCACGGGACCAGATAATTCAGTAGTTAGATTGCGAATTTACCGACCGGAAGGTCTGTAGTTCGAACCTAACCTTTGCCTCTCGACTTCTCTGTCCAGGCTTGGGTAACCTGGCAGCATCCCAGCCCTCGTGCAATCTTCAGATAGCATGGCAGTTAGGCACCGAAAGGGTGCTACAGCTGTACGGTTCTTTTTTTTAAGACGTTTCAGTTCAGCTGCTTAAACAGGCCAAGTTTCAGAGCCATACAGCAAAACAGCCCACACTGTAGCCTGATACACAGGTCCGTTGAGATTCACGGATATACTGTTTTGGCGCTATAAGTAACCTAAATTAGCAAACGCGATCCGAGCCTTGCAGATTCACGCATTGACCTCATCTATTACAATACAATGAGATCTAATACGACCTCCAAGGTACGTGAATGGCTCCACAACATCGAACGCCTCTTCCTAGATTGCAAGTGGCGCGTAAAGCGACTGTACGTTCAGGAGCCTTACACTTTATGGGTGCATGCCAAAGGACGGGATGACTTCGGTCATTTCGTCCAAAAACACCTGCATCTTCTGCTCTTCGAAGAGGGGAACGATATCACCTGCATATTCCAGATCGACAGATTTTTCGTCAGAGGCCAGTTGAAGCCGGTGTTTTGAAGACCTTCCAGAGTTCGCCTCATTATCTCATCGGTCACGAATTAAACAGGGTTGGAGTGATTTGGTAGCCTTTACGAACACCACACTGTGTACGGAAGCTTATGAAGAGCTCTCCGAATACTCTCACACTTTCGGAAGTCTGAGAATACAAAGAGTGTATCGTGTTAGGAAACTTCCGGAGTATTCCTTGATGGGGAAGTGTGTCAAGGAGGAGAGACCGGTCAACCGAGTTCAATTGCCTTGGAAACCCAGGAATACCTGAAGTGTGAAGATTTGGTCAACGCGACCCCTACCGGGTCGGAACCCCATTTGCTGCTCCCGAACCAATGTGTCACGAGCCACCATGAGGCGACGAAGCACAAGTGACGCCGGCAATTCCGCTACAATCGGGGTTAAGCTGATCCCCTGCGGTTACCGTACTCACGACGAGCCCCTTTTTTAAAATGTGTACCATCACCGACCCACCCCAGTTGCCTGGGACATTTCCGTTTTCCCAAATGCAGGCAAACAGATTAGGCAAGCGCTTGAAAGAGCACATGCAGTCTCTCAGTTTCTCAGTGATTTGTCCGCACCTTGTGCAGCCCTGGAAAACGAAAGGAGAAGCGGTTGCGGACGAGTACGTGCTCGGAATACACAAATGTGTCCCAAAACGAGCGGCGGTTGGTTATTCATCCGCGTTACCGGTGGCTGATGGCAGTGATCAATTTGGGTTCGTAGCTGGTACGCTGCTGGAGGACGCTACGTGACCAGACGACTTTGGCTACTCCGAAAATGAATACTGCACAAGAACAGCCGGTGGTCAGCACACAGCTAAAGCAATCGTTTGCCACTGTCCGTGCGTGCCGAATCCAACAGACCAGCAGTGACTATTGGAACTGTATTCCAGTAAACCGTTCTCAAACGTCCGAACCCCAATATGCCGCGTTTCCATTACGACGCATTTATGCCGTGTGGCTTTTTATGAGGCAACAAGAGAGAGACACCATGAGACAACTCAAGACATCAGTTATTGGAGCGCATGCAAACAAGCAATGGTAAACAAAGGTACAGAAACCAACTCACGCCGTTTTCTCTCCAAACACTTCAGTCAACTGAGTCAAGCTGATTTCAGTCAACTGTCCCAACGTCTGGATACCAAAGCGTTCCGTTATGGCCGCGCCCAACTTGCCGCCCAAATTGCGTCTAAAATAAACAGGGAAAATTTCGAAGGACATTCGGCAGAAGGTATGTCCAGGGTTATGAGCGTAAATGCTGTATAAAAAAGTTTTGATTTCGCTTGCAGGATACAAGTTATCTGTTGAGAACTATCGTCCTATTAGTTCCGCAACGTATTTTCTACACACAGAAGCCGTAGGCGTTCGGAACTCTGTGAATAAGCCACACATACAAATTGCAAGGCATATGGATAAACAACTGCACTAATAAAATGTAAGTTGTAGACTGTCTAAATATAAATTGTTTAAAGAAAAACCTTTTTATATTTATGAAAACTTTCCTCTTAGTGTTGCTTATAACACGTCATAGGATGACAAGTCAGAATTCGCTAAAATGAATCTTATAGCCCCGGTCTTCTTATGCTTATGACCAACCACGGCAAAGACATGCGACCGGAAGACCAATAAGATGGCATGGTTCGAAAATATCATACCAGTGGAACACGTCGCGTCGAGGATGCTCCCAATATTCAAAAAGGATATAAGATCATTCGAAAGCCTCCATCAGTCTGGCGAAAGTAACACTCAAGATGCTCTTTGGCTGCAAAGGCTGATCAATTACCAGAAACACCAATCCGTGGCAATGACTATTGTCGCCTGGCCGCAACTACATTCACCATATCTTCACTTTGGGGCGTATACTCGAAAGGCGCCACTCTTTCAAACGACCGACAATGATTATTTTTGTCAACAGGAAAGCTGATTTTGATTCTGCCAATCCTCATAAAATATGGCGGCGTAGATAGATCCAAAGCATATCTTCTAATTTACTATCCGTTATAAAGGCACTGTGCAGCAACTGGTGAGGGAACATACTGGCTTACAAGGAACTTTTACCTGGAATCACTACCTCCAGTGACAGGAAAAAGGGCTGCACTATCTCACTCTCACCTTGAATTATTTTACGAATACACTACCGAAAGCCTTTTTCACCTCTAACAAATCGCCGGTCAAAGTGCTCACAGGATGTTTGCTAACAGGTAGGGTAGCGACATTGTTCTCCATCGCTACGATGTTTCCAAGATAGGAAACATTTTAAACAACCGAAATACTTGTGTCGCATCGTTTGAAATGCACTCCACATCTGCAAAGTGTGAAGTGCGACTAAAACATTGGGTAGCGTAGAAGCCAAACCTCATTCCTGTAGAACGGCCAGTCGACATTGTATATAAACTGATCTCACCTGTGTAGGTGGGGCAGCTGAGAACGAGCTCACTTCTCGGCTAAGACAAACCAGTTTTTGCTAACCTTTGACATTTATGACGTCAAGTGAACTCAGGCTGCTACTTTAGACAGAGCATGCAGTGCGCGGGTGCGATCCACAATGCCTTATGGATCAGAGGCGACTCCTGTCCGCAGAAGACACATGAAAGCTTCACGTATCTTCGAAGCACTGCCAGCAACTGGTGAGAATATTGAATCAGCAATCCTCAGTCATGCTAGAAAGTTTTAGCGAGGAAAATAAGATATGGGACGAAAACAGAGTGCCGGTGGGATGATCCAGCTTGACTGTGATCCCGAACCTTACAACGGGTGCAACGTCACGAGAAATTCACCGTGGCGTCAAGCCAGTGACCATGGCACCCAAGGTGCCCTCTGGTAATATTTTGCAGTTTGATCGCTCACCAGTGGGTAGACTCGTCGGAGTCAAGCTAGATCTCCTCCTTGACGAGGATACATCAACCATAGCTTAACAATGAGACAGGTTCTTGAACAACAAAACTCCTTCATGTTCGTCCAACAGATGGCCGAATTAATGTCCCAACAAAGTGCATGAGCACAAGTGACTTAGCAGAAGTCGAAAATCCTATTCAGATGGGTTGAAATAAACGCGAAAAATGAAACCTTTGAAACTTACATTTTACCAATCGATGTGGACCTCAAGAGGAGTTCTGAAGATTCCGGAGGAACGATGGATTGTTTGTTGGGCTTGTTCAAACTGCAAGCCAATTTTGCCAAGGTCTGATGGAAAAAATGAACAGCAAAATTTGAAATGATAAGTCACCGATGAAAACATGCGACAGGAAACTTTCACATCGTTTCAATAAGGTTTTTGAACACAGCCCCGTTACGTGTGGAAGAATCTCAGCGTCAAACACATGTGATTCGGAGTGACGGAAAAATCCAACCTTCCTGAGCTTCGTCACAGAATTGCGTCCCGGTTTCTCGGGGGACACGACTGAATGAATCAGACACTTCGGTCCCGCGTGTGAAAATCGGCAACTTAGACTAAAGGCTGGGCCGATATGTTTCGAATAACCAGAAGACAGGTTTGAATGCAACATTGGCTACCAAGGCTATAGATGCATCAAGATAGCTTACTAAAGAGTGGAAACAGAGCCCTCGGAATACGATGTACCAATCTCAGGAAAGCTTAGTGGCGAAGGCATGAACTCACCACCTGAAAGGTCCGTAGTCGGAACCCAACCCCAGCAACTGTTCTTGATTGGGCTTGCGTAACCTGGAAGTCCCAATCCTTGTGATAACTCCAGGAATGAGTGTCACAACTGGACGACTTATTTCATTTGTTTACACATTGCATTTTCGAGACACCATGCTAATAAATTCAACCTGGGCTCCAAGAGAAAAGCGGATCAGTCGATCGGCCGAACTGGTTATTGTGCACCAACGTTGTGACGTCTTAATTCACCGGCGTTTGCCTCATTGCTTAATCGACAGCGAAGTTGAATAAACACGCACAAAGTGAATATCCTCCTCGGACTCCTCTTTTTATAGAAGGACTTCTGGAGAGCTCACCATACACTCACACGACCAGAAGTATGTGAATATAAAGACCGGATTATGTTCACAAACTTCTCAATGACTATTGTCGCCTGGCCGCAACTACATTCACCATATCTTCACTTTGGGGCGTATACCCGAAAGGCGCCACTCTTTCAAACGACCGACAATGATTATTTTTGTCAACAGGAAAGCTGATTTTGATTCTGCCAATCCTCATAAAAATGGCGGCGTTAGATAGATCCAAAGCATATCTTCTAATTTACTATCCGTTATAAAGGCACTGTGCAGCAACTGGTGAGGGAACATACTGGCTTACAAGGAACTTTTACCTGGAATCACTACCTCCAGTGACAGGAAAAAGGGCTGCACTATCTCACTCTCACCTTGAATTATTTTACGAATACACTACCGAAAGCCTTTTTCACCTCTAACAAATCGCCGGTCAAAGTGCTCACAGGACGTTTGCTAACAGGTAGGGTAGCGACATTGTTCTCCATCGCTACGATGTTTCCAAGATAGGAAACATTTTAAACAACCGAAATACTTGTGTCGCATCGTTTGAAATGCACTCCACATCTGCAAAGTGTGAAGTGCGACTAAAACATTGGGTAGCGTAGAAGCCAAACCTCATTCCTGTAGAACGGCCAGTCGACATTGTATATAAACTGATCTCACCTGTGTAGGTGGGGCAGCTGAGAACGAGCTCACTTCTCGGCTAAGACAAACCAGTTTTTGCTAACCTTTGACATTTATGACGTCAAGTGAACTCAGGCTGCTACTTTAGACAGAGCATGCAGTGCGCGGGTGCGATCCACAATGCCTTATGGATCAGAGGCGACTCCTGTCCGCAGAAGACACATGAAAGCTTCACGTATCTTCGAAGCACTGCCAGCAACTGGTGAGAATATTGAATCAGCAATCCTCAGTCATGCTAGAAAGTTTTAGCGAGGAAAATAAGATATGGGACGAAAACAGAGTGCCGGTGGGATGATCCAGCTTGACTGTGATCCCGAACCTTACAACGGGTGCAACGTCACGAGAAATTCACCGTGGCGTCAAGCCAGTGACCATGGCACCCAAGGTGCCCTCTGGTAATATTTTGCAGTTTGATCGCTCACCAGTGGGTAGACTCGTCGGAGTCAAGCTAGATCTCCTCCTTGACGAGGATACATCAACCATAGCTTAACAATGAGACAGGTTCTTGAACAACAAAACTCCTTCATGTTCGTCCAACAGATGGCCGAATTAATGTCCCAACAAAGTGCATGAGCACAAGTGACTTAGCAGAAGTCGAAAATCCTATTCAGATGGGTTGAAATAAACGCGAAAAATGAAACCTTTGAAACTTACATTTTACCAATCGATGTGGACCTCAAGAGGAGTTCTGAAGATTCCGGAGGAACGATGGATTGTTTGTTGGGCTTGTTCAAACTGCAAGCCAATTTTGCCAAGGTCTGATGGAAAAAATGAACAGCAAAATTTGAAATGATAAGTCACCGATGAAAACATGCGACAGGAAACTTTCACATCGTTTCAATAAGGTTTTTGAACACAGCCCCGTTACGTGTGGAAGAATCTCAGCGTCAAACACATGTGATTCGGAGTGACGGAAAAATCCAACCTTCCTGAGCTTCGTCACAGAATTGCGTCCCGGTTTCTCGGGGGACACGACTGAATGAATCAGACACTTCGGTCCCGCGTGTGAAAATCGGCAACTTAGACTAAAGGCTGGGCCGATATGTTTCGAATAACCAGAAGACAGGTTTGAATGCAACATTGGCTACCAAGGCTATAGATGCATCAAGATAGCTTACTAAAGAGTGGAAACAGAGCCCTCGGAATACGATGTACCAATCTCAGGAAAGCTTAGTGGCGAAGGCATGAACTCACCACCTGAAAGGTCCGTAGTCGGAACCCAACCCCAGCAACTGTTCTTGATTGGGCTTGCGTAACCTGGAAGTCCCAATCCTTGTGATAACTCCAGGAATGAGTGTCACAACTGGACGACTTATTTCATTTGTTTACACATTGCATTTTCGAGACACCATGCTAATAAATTCAACCTGGGCTCCAAGAGAAAAGCGGATCAGTCGATCGGCCGAACTGGTTATTGTGCACCAACGTTGTGACGTCTTAATTCACCGGCGTTTGCCTCATTGCTTAATCGACAGCGAAGTTGAATAAACACGCACAAAGTGAATATCCTCCTCGGACTCCTCTTTTTATAGAAGGACTTCTGGAGAGCTCACCATACACTCACACGACCAGAAGTATGTGAATATAAAGACCGGATTATGTTCACAAACTTCTTGGGCATACCCAGTTAAACAAGTGTGGTTAAACAGCACTGTTAAACACAGTTAAACAGCACTGACCGATCAACAGAGTCGAACGCACCCTCGAATTCAAATAACACGAAGAATCTAGTTCATCTGTGCATATGACGTTGCTCTAACATTTGACCGAGCGTGAAAATGTGGACGACGCAACCTCTATCTGACCAGAGTCCCGGTTGATGGTCACGGGTCAGTGATTCGCATACCACCTTAAAACGACGAAGAATCAGTGAAATCAGAAGCGTTCTTACAATGAGAGTCAAACTAACACCTATGGTAACAACATTCACTGCGAGTACACTTTTTGAAAACGGGCACTACGGTTGTCTGGGATGGTCTGCTTCTCTCAGATAAACCCAAATAGGCTAAAAAGTCACTAGCTAAGGAAATCACCGTCATCCTTGAAAGGATCAGTGGAAGGTCGGAAAGCATTATAAAAACCGGTTCTGATAAGTTCGTTTGATTTCTGGGTAAACTAGCTTTTCAATGGCCAGTAGAGGTGCGCGCGTTTTGCTTGGGCCTGAAAAGCGCTATGAAAAACAGCAGCGTACAAGTGACTGGTCGGAGTCCACGCTTGTATTTCAGAAGGAACGGCAGGCAGTGACCTACCGTCGCCACTGGTAACTGACAACAATATAGTCTATTTGGATTCGGGGCTGGTTCAGTGGTGGGCATCATCATCATCGACAGCATGACATCAGTGTTCAATACCGATGCTTCACTGCTGTGGTGGGCACCACGTGTTCAAGCGAATTCCGGTGTTCCAGAAACGTGTACGGCAAAGGAACTGTCTGTGATTGGTACACGTCTGAAGCTGGCACCCTCCGTTTATCGTGCTTTCCGTGTCCAAACCAGGGAAACCACACAATCTGGCTTCAGTCGCGCTTAGCCTACATACCTGATCGCCACTGTTATCAGCTTCATGTCATCTGAGCCTTTATCCTGTTGTAAAGAAGCACCTAGAACAAAATGGGAACTGTGTTTGGTAGATTCAGAGCTACAGTCAGTTACGGGCGTAAGCAGACACAACAAACAGTGTGGTGGATATCACTTTCTCGAGATTGTTTCAGACATTACCAAACGAACGGCGCGAAGACGACGATCAACGACGATCAAGTATAGACACTTCTGCTCGGTAGCTAAATGCAATAACCACCCCGGCATAGCCAACTACAACAGTCTCTGCATCACTAGAGTTTTGCAGCCGGAACATGGTCAGTCAGTTCAATTACAGTGCTTGTGTCATGTATCCTTGATTTTGACAGACAGCATACATCAATGAGAAAATAAGTGTACGAGTAAGGACCACCTATTGTCCTGCTTGCTTCAGTGCGAATATTAAAAGCAGCCAAATAGAATGGCTTTCCAGGTTTGAAAGCAGACTTTAAGTGTTAAGGATTGTCACTGAAGTCGGATACACAGAAGCTACAGCCGACTGTGATGCAGGATGACCAAAGTGGTCAGTCCTAGAGCTGGGACGTGAGGAGAGAGTATTCAAATTTGGTTGGGATAGGGTAGAAGAGGTAATACATGAAAGTATAAGAAGGGAAGCGCCAGTAGTGACATGTTTTCCTTAGACTGCGCTGCTGTATGCAGCGATTCAAGTGACCCGGCTGGCGACACAACGCAGCGACCGATGTGGCATGTGGGTGTTGTTAGTCGCAAGCATCGTGGTTGTACATGGGCTGGGATATTGCCAGACCGTTTAGACCTTTATAGGAGGACGATTACAATCCTCAATGAGTCACGGAGGAACAGAAGTTACACCACGGCAAGGTTGTCTCTTCGCATTGCCTAACACTGTTAGTTTGTGACCTTAAAAGTTAGATAGACATCTTTTTGAACGTATTCATGCGATATACCGGCGCATATATCCAACCACTAGTTGACAGTACAACAGCTGTAGGTTTTATGCGCTGTTTTTTAACGAATAATGTACAATCTACTGAGGCCACCAAGTGTTGTTCAGCTGTCTTGTTTTATCTTCAACCAGTGAATAAAAGTGCAGCGGGAGGAAACAACTTATTCTGGTGTGGTTCACAAAATGAACTGAACTGATTGATAACAATCTAACAACAATTCTATCGTATCTGTGTTCAACGGCTTTATTGCTCTTGCGAAGTATAATCTTGCTCTTATTGAAAGAAAACGATAACGCGCAGCCTCTGTCCTGCCAAGATGCGGTCAGCACACAAGAACAGATACAATCAAAATTTGAAATTAAAAATGACAATAAAAGATAAAACAAACAATAGTTCAGCTGTAACACCTTTTCGGTGCCTATCTGCCGTGCAACCCAAAGGAAGCACAGGGCTGGAATACTGTCAGGTTGCCCAAGCCTACACAGGGGAAATCGAGAGGAAGAGGTCGGGTTCGAACCACGGACCTTCCGACCACTAAATCTGCGCTCTAACCACTGAGCCATCTCGTCCCCTGAGCCGGTGACATGGCGTACCTTATAGGCTACAGTTGCACTCATTTCTTTTGCAGAGGATTGCTTTATCCATACGGAACATGCAAAAATCCAGCATTTGATTCTATACTTGAGTCAACAGTACCACCAAAGAAGGAAGGATCAAGTCGCATAGCAAGACAGTTTTGACTTCGTGCTTTTTACTGCACATGCCACATGGAATTTCAACGCTCAGTCTAAAGGAACTTTGGCTCGTATTGTGCATATATATCGTTCAGCTGTAGCACCATTTCGGTGCCTAGTTGTCATGCCACATGGAGGAAGTACGAGGGCTAAGATACTGTCAAGTTGCTCAAGCCTAGACAGGGGCAGACGAAGTGCTGTGATCACAAGATGTCAAGGCGGGTCAGAGGGCAATCCTAACTTCAGGATTCACTAATTATACTGCACTCAAGTCAACTATGGTCGGTGAACACAGGCATTCTGCGGTATCAAAGACGCCAAATGAACGGCAGAGAAAGCATCTGTGTTGCTACCCAATTCCGTACCTTGTTTGGAGCTATACCTGCGGAACACCGAAACCCAGTGCGTGTTAGAATAGTTTGCCGCAGCTTGTGAGTTAATTCCGTGGCCACAGCGTAACGTAATCCATCATTAAAGCGTTCTTGTAGATAGTTCACCCAATCCAAGCGATCCAACGAAGCGCACATTCCATTTTCTGAAGCTCCCAGCACTGATCCGGAGTCGATAACAACAAAGGACTCCGAATTCGGCTGATGCGCTTCGGACTTAGTCCAGTCAGTTTGCTGCACAGTGGACGTGACAAGCTCTAAATAGAAACTAATTGGCGATTTGACGGGTAAAACATACCTGTGAGATCGACGTACGCCTCGTCAATACTTGCTCGCTCCACGTCTTTGAAGTGTTCCGAAATGCACTGGAAAACTTCAGCGCTAGCTGATCTGTATCTGTCGGAATCAGTGAATAGGTGTGATGGAGTACTTGGCCAGATCAGCTTTGCCCCTTTTCTCTGGAACCTCGAACAAAATCAAATTCGGGCAGACCGAGATGGCTGTTTTCCCCCACATTCCACGCTTGACACCTTCCGCCCTGGCTTCGTAACTCACTGCAATGATGCTAATTATCAACTACAGGATCAGTATACTTGACATACCCACCCCCTGTTTCCCCATTATATTGGGCGACAGCACACGGCTTTCCAAGAGTTTCTGGACGGGAACGCTGTTCAACTTGGACATAGAAGCAATCCATGTCTATTAAAAGAACTATTCGATTCATACTACCTGAAATAAAATGAAAAACAAAATGGACAAAAGTAAACCATCTACAACACTACCTTGCAAGCACTACGTCGGCATCCTTCTCCACGATCATAGCAACGACTATGGCTTCACCAAGGCACACACAAAAAGTTTTTGAGTCACACTGCGGAACATAAAAGGGTTGCATAGACGTGCCACCAAAGTATCACAAACGACCTAGAACGTATATTCTCATATGTACGAAAAACGCACTTGTGGAGCTACTGGTGAGCACTCCACATTAATATCCTTCAAAGGACTGCCCCAGATAAAAAAAAATTTTCCACGCACAAGTAGTTATTCGGAGAAGTGATAACCAACAGTTTGAGACTTGAAAATTGTGCATGGATTCACTTGAGAATCTGAAATGTCTTTTAATGACCAAGACGGAAAAAAATAAAGGGTACAAGAGCGGTGATTCATGGAGGTTTGAAGGAAAAATGATCAGATCTCGAAAGTTTGGTTACAAACACTCGGAAAAACGAAATCCTAAAGACAAGCATTCCAGCGGAGAAATAGGGAGCTATTTCCGTACGACTCTGTGATAACAATGGCGTCGACGATACATTCATGTTCCACCAAAGGATATTGCCTTGTGTCCACTTAGTACAAGGATGCTATATACGAACGTTTCAGACTTTGCGTATTACCGAACCTTTGTGCAGACGTCCTTCTCGGACATAACTTCCTGGGGTTACATGATAAAGTCGAAATTCCATTCGGTGGTCAACGGGGTACTCTAACTGTATGTGGCGTAGCATCCGCAAAACTGGAATCTCCATCCTTATTCACCAATCTTGCTCCAAATTACAAACCGATCGCCACAAAATCTCGTCGTCATACACCGGAAGACGAACAATTCATACAAACCGAAGTACACCAAATGCTTACCGATGGCATAATCGAACCATCAAATTCTCCGTGGAGAGCACAAGTGCAATGCAAATCACAAGAGACGCATGGTGATAGACTACAGCCAGACAATCAATCGCTTCACCTACCTTGACGCTTATCCTTTACCAAGACTCGACCAAATGATTGAAATCACCGCACGCTACACCGTCTACAGCACACTGGATCTCCAGAGTGCATATCATCAGGTTCCAATAATCGAGTCAGACAAGCCATTCACAGCGTTCGAAGCTGGGGGGAACCTATACCAGTTTCGGCGCATTCCTTTTGGAGTGACAAACGGGGTCGCGTGTTTTCAGCGAACGCTGAACAATATAATCAAAGCCGAACAGGTAAAAGACACATTCGCCTATATCGATAACGTCACTATATGCGGCAAAACGAGAGATGAACATGACCGTAATCTTAGGCATTTTCTCGCAAAAACATACAATGTTACTTTAAACGATACAAAAAGCAGCATCGCAACTGAAGAGATTACTCTCTTAGGTTACAAGGTCTCCAAAGGTATTATAAGACCTGACCCAGAACGCATGCGCCCCATAAGAGAACTCCCACTTCTAGAGAGCGGGAAATCGCAGCAAAGAGCCGTTGGTTTGTTTGCCTACTATTCACAGTGGATACCGGCGTTTTCTGACAAAATTCATCCATTGGTTAAAAACAAAATATTTCCGCTCCCGGAGAATGCCCGAACAGCATTTGAGAACCTTAAACACGAACTAGAAAATGCGATGGTAGTTACTGTCGACTACAATATTCCTCTCGTTGTTGAAACTGATGCGTCCGACATCGCTATTGGTGCATCCCTGAGCCAGGGTAGCCGGCCGGTCGCCTTTTTCTCCAGAACCTTGACTGCAAGCGAGAAAAATCATTCTGCTGTTGAAAAAGAAGCATATGCTATAGTTGAAGCGATCCGCAAATGGCGCCACTATCTCCTCGGGAGACATTTTAAATTGATTACGGATCAACGTTCGGTAGCCTTTATGTATGGGAACCAACAGAAAAGTAAAATAAAGAACGACAAGATTGAACGGTGGAAAATCGAGTTGGCAGGGTACAACTACGACGTCGTCTATAGACCTGGAACAGATAACCGCGTTGCTGATACCCTATCTCGTAACCTTTGTGCCAACATTACTGGGACGGAAAAACTTGAAGAGCTTCACAACATATTATGCCATCCCGGGGTCACGAGATTTGCACATTTTGTTCGTTCTAAGAATCTTCCTTTTTCAGTCAGCGATATCCGACGTGTGGTGTCCAACTGTTCCACTTGCTCCGAGCTCAAACCAAAATTTTGTGACACCTTTCGTGGCCAGCTTATCAAAGCCACACAACCGTTCGAACGCCTTAGTATCGACTTTAAAGGCCCACTTCCCTCAAACACTCGTAATAAGTACCTCTTAACAATCGTTGACGAGTATTCTCGATTCCCTTTTGCTTATCCCTGCGCCGATACGTCCTCTTCCACTGTAATTCGTTGTTTGAGTCAACTGTTTTCACTGTTTGGTATGCCTGCTTATATTCACTCAGATCGCGGTTCTGCATTCATATCAACTGAACTCAAACAATTTTTGTTCGATAAAGGCGTTGCCAGTAGTCACACCGCTGCATATAATCCACAATGTAATGGTCAGGTTGAACGACTTAATGGTACCCTTTGGAAGACCATCTGCCTGGCTCTAAAATCGCGCGGCTTGCCTGTCACACATTGGGAGGCTGTCCTCCTTGATGCTCTTCACTGTATCAGATCCCTGTTATGTACTAGTATCAACTGTACCCCACACGAACGTTTTATGCCGTTCACACGACGATCAGCCAACGGTGCCTCCCTACCTACCTGGCTTACTGTCCCTGGGCCAATCCTTTTAAAACGCAATGATCGAGTCTCTAAATATGACCCTCTGGTAGAGGAAGTGGAACTCGTCTCTTGTAATCCACAGTACGCCCACATAGTTCGTCCAGATGGCAAACACGAAACCGTATCCTTGCGCCGCTTGGCTCCCAAAGGCAACGACATGACATCCGACACAGAACAGGAACCAATACATATCGCCGAACAAGGGGAGCCTCACACAACACCAACAATCCACCGTGGTTGCTCAGAAACTGAACTCTTGCCTATTAACGATGCCTCGCCATCCCATTCTAGTGCAGATCCAGGAAATCACTTGGACATTCTTATCCGACAACAGCGCACTCACCCATATAATCTACGCAACAGAGAGGCGTAAACGACTCCATGTAACTATTACAGCGTTTTATTTTTTTACATTCTTTCTCCGCAAAGTACACACTTATTCCAAGGCGGGGAGAATGTCATGACTATATAACCCATACCTTTGGATAACCCATTAACTCGTGATTCTCACTCTATTTTCAGCTCATGTACTACAGTTATTAGACGATTAAAGCGTACATTACGTCTTCCTATTCTGTCTCCTTTCTAGTCCCGTCCTGGAACTACTCGACTCTCTCAACACCGCATAATTGTTATAGCTGCCAGTTTCGTTCGTCGATGTTTTGGGGAAGTGGAGTAGATGACTACGCATTGGAAGCGATGGCTGATGCGTGGATGCAGTGTCAATGGACTTTACGTTGGGGAAATCAGGAGAGGAGCTGTGCATTGAAGGGAACAGCTCGAACGCCATAGCATCATCATCATAATCAGCTGTAAGAAACCGCGTGCTTGTCGTAGTGGTTGAAGCTGCCACAGTTACATTCACCGACGATTTGGGGAGGTGAAGTAGATAGCTGCACACTGAAGGCTGATAAACTGGTGCGTAAATACAGGACTGTTAAGTGAAGGGTTGGGAAGGGAGCTACGCATTGAAGGAAATGGCGCTATTGAGGACGCGACTGGGCCATATTGTGAATGTCTCTAACGATCGATGTGACCCATCACGGGAAGACGGCAAAGACCAGCGCAGCTGAGTTTACAGGTAGTGACTTTTATACTTCATTGCGAAGTCATTGTTTGACCTGCCCTGGCTCATTTCTACGGTTCACGTGGTTGTGTGAAAGGAACCCTGAGAGGAATTAGGTCGACCGGCATACAGAGCACGTGGCCAAGCCAGTGCAACCTGTGAAGTGATCAGTTCATCTATGGTGGGCGAGTTATGTCTTCCGGAAACTATTCAACGAACTTCAGCACTACTGTTCCGGTTTTCCCATTAAACAATGCTCAGAAGACATCAATCGTCAAAAACTGGAAGATTCTGACGTCCTGAGAACGCAGCAGCAAGGTTTCTGACCCGCATAGCAATGTAGATCGCACCGCAGCATTGTAAACTCGACCTTTGATGGATAAGCTGATGTTACACCTATGCTACAGGTGACGCATGTTCACAAAAGCTGCTCTGGCCTTCCCACTCCGTATGGAACTATCGTCCTTGATTAGACCACAAGGACTGATAAAGCCACCCAGGTAGATTAACTTGTCTACTATCTCAATCGGCTCATCCGCGAGCATAAGGTTAGCGTTCGACCTAACCCAGTCTTAGTGAAGCACATTACACTTCGCAGGTTTGGTGAGCACACAAAACTGAAACGAAATTATTTAATGTTGTCTGCATTGCAGTGGTGTCAGGTCCAAGAGCAATGTCGTCTGAATACTGGATATCCGCGAGCGATTGCCCTGGTGGCGCTCCGACCCCACAGTCGAAGGGTGGGAGCAACTTTACCATAATCATATCACTGGTGGTGAAATAGAAGAGGAAAGGTGAAAGGTGACAGTTTTGCATGATACCGCTGTGTAGTAAATCCAGTCGAGAGCTTCCCGTAGATATTCACACGTCCGCGAAAGCTGGCGTCCAGCGACTTAAAGATGGTCGGAAATTTACAGGGACACCTTTTCTCCATAGACACTAGCATAGTGCCTGACTGTCCACAAAGACATATCTCAAGTAAAAGACCACAACCATTGGTTGCTGGAAGCAGTGTCGCCGCTCCAGAATCTGACAGAATGGAAATGTGATCGATGCATTCTCTTGCAACAAGGAACTAAAACGACGTTTTGCGAGATGGTTAAGAAATCACACAGGGCATGTTATTGGATGATTGTGAGAGTACGACAAAAGAATATGGTTCGGAGGAGCGCACGATGATGTACAAGAGGCGTCGACGGCTCGAAGGGATCAATCGAAGACAGCAAGGTACTGCAGGTACTGTACATAGGCGAAGAGCTTTAGATAGCTCAATGATCAAGCCGCAAATCTGCCGGCCGGAAAGCTCGTCGTTCAACTCGACCATCCCTTTCAAGGCTTCGGCAGCCTAGCAACATCCCAACTATGGGGCTTCTTTCTTAATTTAATTTTATAAAGGAGCGAAGGATATGTAGATTGAACGCTACCCTAGGTTCGACAAGTGTTCCAGGGCACTGGGGGTGGAATTTGCACAGAACAAGTTGGGGAGAAAACATTTATGGGATCGAAGAAAGTCGAGCTCACCTGAGTCACGAGAAACGGAGACCGCTGAAAGCGGTTTTGGGATGATATTAGGGTAAATGCTGCACGGTTGATGGAGAAACAGTAAAGGGTAACATGAAGATTCTCAGGGGTTGAATACGGCGACACCTAGTAAGATCCAATTATAAAGTTCTTAAGGTCGGTGTTCATTGTACTGGTGATGTTCAGTAACGTCACCTATTGTATATATTTGCGCTGACTTCCCCCGAAGCGTTTCATCGTCCATTACCTAATCACTTTCTCAATTTGGACGAATAAAGCGAAGCTTCTAGGCCCTGTCTTTTCCGCTCTTATTCTGACTGTCGCCAAACACAATAATCTATTCATCTAAAAAGTCATTGAACAGTGGATTGATTTCTACGTCCTGGACAGTTCGATACCGATCCCAATACTCAAGACTTGGC